ACCTGCAGGTACCCTTGCCCTGAGTAAGCTGGTTGCTGGATCTCATAAGGTGCACACTCTTGTCAACAACACCAACAGAACACAGGGATCCAGGAGAAGCCTTGACTGTCAGCTTGGTCGAGGCACCTGGTAGCTGAGACGTCTTGGGGAAGGACATAGTCACCTGTGGTATGGGGTGATTTGGGGACAAGTTAGTGTACAACACACACAAGAAATAATGATCAACAGCAACTTAAACAAATCTGACAGGCAATATAAAGACTAATAGTGTAGGTGACCAATGACCATCTGATGCTATTCCCCTGAATGTTGAATCAGAATGTAGGTTTGACTTTATGTCTCTAATTATGTCTTGTTCAAGTTCCATTTTAAGTTCCATTTCATACATAGCCGGAGTACAGTATGAATATAAATTTGTAAAACAATGCAATTTACCATTTACAGGTAGCAGTAAATGGACATGTACAACCCCATGTTACTATGCATAGTAAAAGCTGTTATAAAATTTGAATTTGCACTACACTTTTGCCTTCAAGTTAGAACTTCCATGGCATGTAAATGACATTTATAGAAAACCTATTTACCAAAAGAAAAAAAAAAGAATTCGGAGACTTCATACCTTTATGAAATATATGAGTTTTTGTTAATGTTTTTTTCATTTGTCTCATTGACTATGGGAATAAAGTTGTGATTACTATAATCTATTTTAATTGATGGTTTTCTATATTCAAATTATTATTATATTTTTTGTGTGTAAAATTCCTCTCCTTTGTCAATACTGCATTTCAAGATGTCCTTATTAATTATGCAAATGACCTCGACATTAACATAATATGTATGTAGTGATGTTAACCTTTAAGTCACTTACACATGTCACAATGTATAAAATTTCCATCATTCACCAATAAAGAATCAATTTGAAAGAATTTTCACATTAATTATGCAAATTAGGTAATCATTTGCATAATGGATATCTGTTGATGTTCCACCTGCCATAGATTACATGTACAAAACACTGTAATTATGAAATTTCCTCTTTAATCATGCAAATTAAGTTTTCATTTGCATAATTTGTATCTAATCACAATCCATATAGGCGTTCTGAAGTTATGCTGACCACAAAGTTGCGGAAACACACAGACACGCACACACAGACACGCCAAAAACAATACCTCCATTTTTCATGGAGGTAATAACAATTAGTGGACATAAGGGCCAGCCTGTCTTTTTTTCAGAACGTTTCATTTAAGACAATAAAATTAGTAAGCTTAGCCAACAATGCTAAACAATTCAAAAGGCCATCCAAATGAATGACTTACATTGTTTTCCAGACAGCTGGTAATCTTGATGGAGGTACTGTCTGCCACCACCTCCCCATCCTCGCGCACGTAATACACCAACAAACGCACCAGGGGAGACAGGCTGGGCACAACCTGCAAAACATTCATGGAAGAATTAGATCATCTTTATCTTTGTGTTGTACATCTTGGGTGTCACAATTTTTGTTGTCGATGTAATACCATGAAAAGCAAGTCCACAAACAGACATACAATCATGGTAGCCATGACAACTGTTGCAGGTTTTCTCTTGCTTGCAGCTTGTCATGATGATGATAAAGCCTGTACAACTGCCGTGGTGCACTGCACTGGAGCAATTATTTTTCGACATTCCCAGTGCTTTTGAGAAATGTGATGAATTCTTTTCACTTGAACACATTCTAAATGTGAGTGATCAATAAAACATTGCCATATCCCTCCTAAGGACTAATCTATTATTACCATATGAATAATACAGTTCAAAATGACTATCTTGAACTACCTTGAACTTGATGGTGAAGTTTCCAGTGTAGCCTGGGATTGGAGGCATGTCGGGGGTCTCATCAGAGTCAGGCCTGTAGAAATGTGGACTGTAGCGTTTCCTACGGACCTCCCCATCGTTGATATCCTCCTTCTCCACTGAAGCAGGTTCATTGGGTGATGGTTCCTCTGCATCAGGCCCTACTACAGGGAGCTCTGGGTTGGGACCTGGTGGTGGGGGAGGGGGAGGGGGAGGAACATCACGCCCTGGGAAGGGGAGTCCTGGAGGGGGAGGGGGTGGGGGTGGACCTGTTGGAGGATGTCAAGGAGTAGGTTACTAAGGCAAGCAAGTACTTCTTAACGTTATTATATCATAGATTACTCAAACAGTTCATTTTCACATAAGACCACACCAATTTAATTTCTTGGTTAACGGATTTTTCTAGAAAAATAATGGAGCGGGCGAGCGAAAAAAAACAAACAAACAGGCCTAGGCATCCTATTATGGCCCAAAATGGTATGATATGAGCCATGAAGTCAACACACCAGGCTGGTTCAAAATTAAAACAATGAATTTTTAACTTTTAATGATACTATTGCATTGAAAGATGGAATAACTGTAACAACTACGAAGAAAAGGACTGTTTTCAACTGGTCAGGGCAAAATATGAGCATTTTGCAGTCGATTCTGAATTCTTTTTTTTTTTTGCAAATCAGAAAAAAATGAAGCGGACGAATCTGTTAACCAAGAAATTAAATTGGTATGGCCTAAGAGGAAATATTTTTATAAGTCAACGTAGTCTAAACATCACATAAGTTTCTGTTGCCTTTTTGTTGTCTTTATACTGTGCTTGTGCAGTCATTATGTCTAGTATTCTAATTGCTCAGTGCTTAGTCTGTCAGCAGAAATGAAGAAAGCGTAATGCCTTTCCTACATGATCACCACATCAGAGAAAATAGTTGGAGATGAAATTATTTGGAGATATATCCACCATACTCATCTTTCTCTGTATAACAATGAAACAAAGTTTAACATACCGAAAGTTTCCTCTGCCATCACAATTTCTACTGGTGGGAAATCTATGAGTTCATCTTCAGGGATGGGCTCCTCTGTTGTGGTGGGACCAGTAAATGGGGTGGTTGGAGGGGCAGCGGTGGTGGGTGGCTGGTAGGTCGACGGCTCCTCAGTACTCTCAAATGCAACATCCTTGGTTCCTATGTGTAGGATGTCTCCCCGTGACATGATCTACCAAAAGGAAATAATTCAATCAGTCTACATCATACGTGATTTTTCCTACGGTTCTAAACGGGGTGCTAAATTATGAACAATATTCCATCCTTCTATGCATTTTCACTGAAACAGTTATAGTATCTTATACTGTAGTTGTACATATATAGAAAGGTTACCTTGTAGTGAAATTTGGTATTGCTAACTCTCTCTGTTTTGTACAGAATGGACACTTCTGCTACTGAATCACATGGCAGGATGTCATGTATGGGTTGGATCTGAAGGAAGCTGGAGCTTGGAGACCACCAAGAACGCACACTGAGGAAGGCAGTTGGATTTTCCATCTGATAAGTGCCTCTCACGTACTTTGATGGCGGGATGTCTGCAATCTTGGCCTGCAGACAGGATATATCATGCTTGTTACCATCAGGAAGTTAATGTATTTGTAAAGATTGATGAGACACAAATTATAAGTTTTATGCACTAGGAATATTGCTATTATTTTGCTTGGTATCAATAAAATGTAGTCTTCTAGAAGGTTACAATGACTACATCGACCAGTTGGTGTACATTTAAGAAAACATAGACCACCAACTTTAATTCAATGATACAGCTGCCCAGATCCGTGAAAAGTTGCTGTACCTATATATTATGAACTGCAACGAATTAGTTTAAAAAAAGGAATGAGTTTTTCATAAATTGTTATTTGGTTGCAAAGAACGCATTGCTTACATTAAGGTTCAGCCTCTTCACATTCTTGTTTGTCATATAGGTAGGCAGTGTGAAAGGGATCTCTCCATACTTGTTGGACGTGAAGTTTTGGGCAAATTCATGTGGGGAATACATATTGTTCTTCCTTGTCATGTCAGCCTCAATGGTCACCTTCACATCAGCCAGGGGGTTGTCCAGAATGTCTGTTACATACAGCTGAAGGTAAAAGTAGACAATGTGGTATTTTTCACAGTTACAACAATTACTGCAGATACAATCTATATACCTGTGAAAGTGCTAAAAGTTTAATCTATTTTTGGTAACTTATCAAAGGTAAGATGGTAGTAGCAGTTATACATTTCCAACATGCTAGTGAGTCACATTCACTGTTAAGTGATATCAATTGATTTATAATGGTAGTCAAAATATTATTAGCCTAACAAATGAACTATGTACAATTGAACAAGACATACATTGTCAAGAAACTCTTTAGATTTCACAGGGGCATTAGTTCTACTTGCTATTTGCTTGTGCGTGTTTAAGCCAAAGTATTTCTGTCACTTGTATCTGAACATACCATTAGGCTTTGGTGTATATTGAACATCCCATATGAAGTACATGACATACAAACAATACCTCCATTTTTCAAGGAGGTAAATATCACATGGTAAGTATATGTACCTTGCCATGATATGGCAGGCCTGGCTTGAACCCTTCAGGACTGAACTTCCTGAAGTCCAACTTCTGATTTTCACGGACAATCTTGGTGGTATCATGGGAGCCACTCAGTTTGACACCTGTGTAGAAAGGGAGTTTAATGACAAAAAGTCAAAAACTATTGCAGGTCCAACAGTTTTCACTTTGAGCCTTTACTTGCACCAACTCCAACACATCACCCATATCCACTCAAATTATCTTAATTTTTGTATTGATGAACAATGTAAAGGGTGAATAGATGAGTTTAAATAACAGAAGCTGTACAACTTGAGTACAAAAAGGGTGTAATAGCAACAGATGTGGTTCACTATGGTAAGTGTCCCAATTGTTTGGTAAATTACATTTATACATGTATAAATTATGTAAATCTGTATCGGTATAGCCAGTATAACCGTGTATAATATAAGTAAATATGTCAAAATGGAATCAACTATAACTTTGCTTTCCACCCACCTGTGCCATCCTCTGTGATGTCAGCTTTCACGCGCAGTGTAGCATGCCAAATACTGTGCCGAGTGGAATCAAGCTGGACCAAGCTGGAGTCAAAAGCGATGTTGACGCAGCCATTCTTGTCAGTCTATGTTTGGGAAAATATTTTCGGACATGAACAGATGCATATAACAGAACAAAACAAACAATACAATAACATCTTAGTATTAAAGTTATTTCAAGTTCCAATCAATAAGGAAATATTGTACCTTGCCCTCCCAGGTGTGGCAAGGCCTTGGGTTCCTGCCATAGGAATAGCTCTGTTTGATGCAGAACTCAGCCTTAACCTCTCCCAGTACAGGCTTGCCGTAAGTGTACCTGTGGACAAGTCACAAGTTGACAAATGCGTACTTTCTTGGTCAGTACAGCACTCTCTCTGACTTAAGTCTGAGAATAATCTTAGCCCTTATATTAACCAGCAAGCTTTTCACTTTTTTTCTTCTTCCAGGTACTACCATCAAGATTCAATCTTGGTACTCAAATTTTTTAAAAATGATTTCTGAAAAATGTTTATTGAGAACAAGATGGAACAAAATGTGTGAGGTAAACAATTTGACTTACTTTCCACAGATGACAGCTGGGATCACCTCCATATCCACAGGGATCCATGGGGGTGGACTGATCTCCACCTCAAACTTTGGCAACACTGAAAGATTTCAGCAATGATGTAATACCGTAATAGAACCAACTACATGTTATTCTTTCAATCTGGGTTTTTACAACTTTCCAAGCTGTAACATTTTTCAACTCTCATAATTCCACTGGTTACTCCACTGCCTAGGAAAAAAAAGTTTCCTGTTTCAGTCCTGAAAAATTAGGGTCAATAGGTAGGAACTATCTGTTTTTTCTAGACTTCAGTGATATCAAAATTGAGGTCCAACTTATACAATACAGTTTAACAAAGTAAAACTTGCATGAGGACACTTTTGTTTTCAATGTCAATGTTAGAAAACCTATTGTACAACATTTTGTCACTCAGGTGTCAGATCATGGAGCTAGAAAAGGTTGATCAGCTTGACAAATTTATTTTACTTGTGTCCCTTGCAGCGGTCCACCCCAAAAAAGTCTAGGGTTGGCAGGTTTTTCTAGGGTTGGTTGGGAACCAGGAAATAACAGTACTGTTACATTTTTTCCCCTAGGCCTCACATAAAGTGACGAAGTTCAAGAGATGTACTAATGCAGTATCAGTTATCCTCTAGGTGTGCACACTTAAGACATCCAGGTATTCATCAAATTAACAAGATAATGTCTTGAAAGGGTCTCCATGACAAGTTCAAGTAATACTGAAGCATAAATTGTACTAATTTGTATGCTTCATAGTCATACTACACTAGTCTCCAGTGCACCCTTTACATTCTGAAGAACAGAAATACATATATTGCAGTGTAACTCAGATAAGCAGAAACTGTTACATACCATACTCGTCTACCTCAAATGTTGTTTTGTAGGTGGTGTCGGCTATCTGAGCGTTGATGGACCATTTCCCCAGCACTGGTTCTTTGGACAGCTGCTGTTCCAGGCTTGCAAGACCTGACCAGTAAAAATTGCAATGATGAAAGTTAACACTTCATAAGTTCTGTCTCACAAATCAACTTAACGAAATCCAATCATCTCTTAATACTAACAGTTGGTGATAAAAAGTCTAAAAGAAATGCATTACCGGTAACTTAACTGTAGTATTTTATAATCTTCTTCAACTTTGGTACATTGGTTTTTTATCTT